TGCTTGGGAAGCATGGCGGCGCTCCCCGCCGAGGGTTCGGATCCCACATACAGACCGGTTCCCGCTCACTGGCAGAGCAAGGTGCGGACGCGACACCGAGGGTTGTGATCCCGTTGCCGGTACGGGCATGACACTGAGGGTTGCGATCCGTTGCCGGACACGAAAAAAGGCAAAAAAAAAATAAAAAACTACATTGAGATACCACCTCACCCCAATTAGACTGGCTATAATCAAAAAGATGGTGAATAACAAATGCTGGTGAGGGTGTGGAGAGAAGGGAGTGCTCCTACACTGTTGGTGGGACTGTAAATTAGTACAACCACTGTGGAAAACAGTTTGGAGGTTTCTGAGACAACTACAGATAGGCCTTCCATATGATCCAGCAATCTCACTTCTGAGTATATACCCAGAGGAATGGAAATCATCATGTTGAAGGGATACCTGTACTCCCATGTTCATCGCAGCTCTGTTCACAATAGCCAAGATATGGAACTAACTTAAATATACATTGGTGGATGATTGGATAAGGAAACTGTGGTATATATGCACCACGGAATACTACTCTGCCCTAAAAAAGAATGAAATTCTCCCATTTGCAATAACGTGGACGAGCTTGGAGAAACTTACGTTGAGTGAAATAAGCAAAGCACAGAGGGATAAATACCTCATGAGCTCACTCATACGTGGGAGCTAAGAGAGAAAAAAGGAAGGAAAGAAAGACCGCAGTGGTGCATTGGACTTGCAGAGGGAGAGAGCGGACCTTAGGATACAAAGTAAAGTGTGTGTGGGGGGGCTAATTAGGTGGAGGACACAGGGTACAAATGCCATTTGTGGTAATGGTCAAGATGCCAGTGTGAATCTGGCCTTCACATCTTGGACATGAGGAGTGACAACCAGCTCTGTATCTCATGAATATTCATAACCAACTAAAAGAAAAGATTGTATCCCCAGGGCAGTTTACCTTAAAGTCTTTGAAGTGAAAATTGTTGTGAGAATCATCTGAGATAATGTATATGAAGGCACTTCCTACGAAAAGTGCCCAAAACATGTATGTTGGAATTATTAGTAAAAGTAAAGCTGTATTGCTACGATTGGTCTTTTGTGCCTTAAAGTTTTTTCATGGAAGTAGAATTATTGGAATGGGGTAATATAAAAATTGATGCTCTTGTCAGCCTTGTGGCTTTTCATAAAGAGTCCAGCAAACACTTATTGAGGGGCCTGCAATGTGCCAGGCCCTCTGGGAGCTGTCAGAGGTACTCAGAGAAAGTCACGGTTCCTGGCCTTGCAGTGCTTATGACTTAGTGCTAAGACAGGCACACACTTGGTGGTTTCAACTGCATATGATGAGTGACCAGATAGAATGTTTGTGCAGGGGACAAAGGGAAGGTAGAGAAAGGGCACTTCTCCCCAGATGGGCTTTAGGGAAGAACATCTGGAGATGAGTTTGTGCTGCATTTTGGAAGAAGAGCGAGTAGTTCAGAGAAGAAAGGCAGGAAGTAGGCCTTATGCAGAGGGGACAGTGGTGAAGAAGCCACCTCATGTAAAGTGCGAGTTCAGGGCTGGTCGGGAGACTCGAGTGGCAGGACGTGCTTCAGAGAACTTTGGTTCGTGTGACTCGCTGGGTGCATGATGCTGAGAGCACTAGCAGAGCAGCAGGCTGGGTGAGGGGGTGGACGGTGAGCTCTCAACACGTTACGTTTGAGGTGCATGGAGACAGAGCCATGCGAACACATCTAGCAAGTCTGTACATGTACAGGAGAAGATCAGTAGAGGACTCAGGGCTAGAAATTTGGATTTGGAAATGCTCAGAATACAGATTAAAATAGACGAGTTCATTCAAAGAGAGCACGCATATGAGAAGAACTGTTGGCCAAGAGAGCATTTTTATAAATACCTATTTTTGAGGAATACGTAGAGAATGAGGAGCATGAGATGACCATTGAGAAGGGACAGAAAGGAATGAAGCACACCAGAGTAGACAAGTATCAGAATTTTCACCACAGTTGAGAGCAGCAGAGAGACCTGGTAAAAGTGGTGGGCTGGAAAATGGCAATTGGAGTAGCAGTGTGAAGGCTGGCTTCGGGGGAGTGTTGGGGGGTAATCTTCTGCCTCTGCCTTTCCTTTCCCCTGTCTCGGTGTTCCCCTAGCACCTTCAGCCTGGATCCGCTGATCTCTGTCTCTGCACCTGCCCCGCCATTTGTGCATCTCTCTCCCAGCTGCTAACTTCTTCATGTCTTTTGCATACTCAATCCTACTGAGCTAGCACTAGTGGCCCCATCACAGTTGCTGGATGGACTCTATACTTCAGCTACAGTGTAGACCTTAATGAAGATGAAGCGAGAAACATGATCTTGTTAGGACCTGGAGAAACAGGAGTCAGATGTTAGGGCCAGTATGGGTTATGGGAGTGCAATTAGAAGAGTGGACCGGTTTCATACTCTTATTCCACACTCTTATCAGAATGCATGATGCCAGGATATTAATGGAGTTCATGTCACAGTCAGCATGATGAATGAGCCACGATCAAGAGCTGACAAGATCAAGATTTTTCTGGATCCAGAACCCTAAACGTTCCCTTTTTTGATGCTGCTTTTAGTTTCCCAGGCACCTGCCTGCCAGACTGTGCTTTGTCTTAAAAGTGCATTGCTCCGAGTTTCCTGGCTGTCTAGGAGCTTATTTGGCTCAATCTTGGGTAGCTTTCTTGTTCCTAAATCAGGCTTCCTTCATCTGTTTGCTCACTGATTTAACAGTTTGTAAGATTAGGCTTTTTCTTTAAAACCTCTTTTGGTTCAGATTGATGAACTTTCTAGTATTCAGCTCACATGTAGAACTAGATCCTTCTCTGTCCCCAGTGCAGGGGCTGGGCTCCCTGCAACCACTTCCTTTGTGCTAAGTCTGTTTTCTGATGGGGGGTGGGGGAGGGGGCTGGAATTGTGTTGCCCATAGATCTCTTGAACAATGCGTGCTTGGCTCTCCATGCACCCACCGCGTGGATTTTGCGCTTTTCCTACCTGTCAGGAGACACTGGCCACTGGGCCTCGTCTCTTTTGAGCCAGCCTCTAAGTTCTGGTTGCTTTTTCCCCAGTCCCTATATCACTACAGTGCATGTCTTTTTAGCAAACCTGTCTCCTCCTCGCATGTCCATTATCATTTCTTATTGTTATGACAGTTTCCAGGAATAAAATAAGCAAGTATGTGGCAAGAGAAGATTTGTCTTTTCTCCCTTCTTTTTTCCCCTCCTTTGCTTCAGTTAGTTTACCATTCTTCTAAGAATTACCTGGAATTCCTCTGAGAATTTGAACCATCAAGATCAAGGTGGAGGAATGAATTATCATATTTCAAAAGAAAGAAAGATGATAATCATCATTTAAAGACAAACAATCTTTTCTTTTCCTCTACGTTTTTTCCTAAAGACCTAACAGATCATACTAAATATTTTAGTTGTGTAATTAAAAACTGTGAATTGTTCTTGTGAATATTAAATATGTTGTGAAGTCTTACACAATCCTTCAGGCCACTCAGCTTCACTTATCAGAACTACTCTATAGTATGTAAGCTCTGAACTTTTAAGAGGAAGTTTGCTGTATTAGATCAAAGTGATTTTGCAATGCATTTTTGTCTTTTCTTTAATGAGCAAGATTTAAAGCAATTCTAGGAAAAAGGTGCTCCTGCCAGATGAAGTTTGCTTTCTTTTCTCAGAAAATTAGAACCATATAATCCTTTCCCACTTTAACTTCCAGATATCCAAACTGAATTTAATACTCAGTTGCAGGGATTACCTCATTTTAGGTGCCTAATGACATCTGCTTCTTTGCTCATTTTAACAGATTAACGTTCACTTTTCATTGTCTGATTTTATAGCTTCTAATTGCATCAGCTATCAGAAATTCTTTTTGGACGCAGGTGGGATTATAAACAAACAACATCTATATGAAATTAAGGAAGTTTTTGTCACTACCTTAGGGATGTTGACATGTTTCTTTGATGTGAGGGGTGTGTGTCTGTGTGTGTGTAAAATATCACAGCTGGAGAGAAATCAAAATAATGTGATTTTTTTCAAGAGGAAAGAACATGTTACAGAACTTAGTGGAATACATCTATATGAAATTAAGGAAGTTTTTGTCACTACCTTAGGGATGTTGACATGTTTCTTTGATGTGAGGGGGGTGTGTCTGTATGTGTGTAAAATCTCACAGCTGGGGAGAAATCAAAATAATGTGATTTTTTTCAAGAGGAAAGAACATGTTACAGAACTTAGTGGAAAGGTTGTCTTAATCCCAGACAACCTACCTAATGAAATATTTAAAAGCAATAAGTGCTTTTAAGCAAATGTCTTATTCTGTGTCTCAAGGGAAGATAATTAATCTGGTGTAGAGTGTTCACTTGTTTTTCATTTTTATTCCTGACCTACGGAAACTGTGGGGATCGGTGTATGGGCTGTTTTATGGCAGCTAATCACTTGACAGAGTTAGAATAAGTGGTTTCAGTGCATTACTCGAGGAACCAATTACTCTCAATTTCTTATGAGGCCTATTGAAATTATATGTTGCCTGATTTGTAGTGATTAAAATAGAACTTTGAAAATAAATCTTAATAGCCTGCAAATTGATGAAACCTTTCAAAGAAGAAACCTAATGAGAGTCCATTATTTTTTTTTAGCTATCTAATTGTAGAATATATATATTGGCACTCTTGTAATATAATTAAGAATTGGCATTTCACCTCTATTGTCAATATAGCTATCTAATTGTAGGATATATATATATATTGGCACTCTTGTAATATAATTAAGAATTGGCATTTCACCTCTATTGTCAATACAAGGAGCTTTCAACTATTACAACTCTCTCAACTTGTTCATTGGATAAGATTTTTAAAGTTAATACAAACTGATTTTAGCATATTGGAGTCAAAGTTAATCGAGTATGGTGACATAATGTTATATGAGAAGGTTACACAGTCTGATGAAGTCCTGCGTCTTCTCTGTGTTCTGGCTGCAGCCCTACCACCTACGTTCTGGATGAAGACGAACCGCGATTCCTTGAAGAAGTTGATTACAGTGCAGAAAGTAACGACGACCTAGATGTTGAACTGACTGAAAATGCAGGAGATTATGAACCTTCTGCTCAAGAAGAAGGACTTTCTGACTCTGAATCATCAAGAACATACCTACCCTGAGCCCTCTGCTGTCTCTTGTTAACTGCAAAGAAATGAAATATCTTGGTTTTTATTACACAGGAAATTTGAGAGAAACGAGTTGATAGAGAGCTGACTCAAAAAGACAAAAGGAACTTGGGCCTGTTTGGTTTCAAGACAATAAATATTATTAATTCATGATAAAATTGGCACTTGTTTTATTTTAGGTATTCAGTGCACTTTATGTAGCATTGAATTATCAAATATTGGATTTACTTTTTGAAAGAAACCTGAGTATCATTGCATGAATTTTTATCTCCTTAGGGTTATATCCTGCATCAAATGGATAATTTTGAAGTGTGTCAGAATATAAAATCTAAATTCTAGAGTTGTTGAAAATCCGGAATTGTTGAAAACTAATGTATGTGTACATGGGTTTCTGTAGATGTGTGTGTGTCGGGGTGGGTTAATATTGAAGATAAGACTGTTCTTCATAATCATGTTAACTGTTGGGTTGTGACTGAAATAATCCGGAGTTTGCCTTGAAACCAGTACATTCTACATTTACCGAATTAAACAAATAAAAATTACATTAAGTGTTGCATTCATTTTGTCATCCTTTTTAACCAGCCCAGATTATTTGATGTATAGAACTTTGGGAGAATATTATAAAATGCTGATATCTGAACACATTGATAAAAAGTGTAAAAGAAATGCCTGATTTACCAGTCGTACACTTTCTGTGGTATAGGTATACCTGTACCTATCATAAAAGATATATTCAAATAACTCTTTCCTGTAAAATTGTCTCGTAGACACACCTGAAGTTTATCACTGCAAACAGTTTGTTAAGAAACTTAAAAAATGCAGTGAGGGTATGATCGATGTTAAATATGCCTTCGTGTACTGAGCTTATTTAGCATTTGCGAGCTGTGCTATAGACTTATTAAACTTACTGAGGTAATTTTATTTAGTACATGCTGACACTGGTCTGAGTCCTAGATGACTGTAAGGAATTTAAACCATTTCTTGTAGTGCTGTTTTCCTGAGTTTTAGCTGTTCTGCTACAGGAATGACTTTGTCTTCAAATAAAATAAAACAATTCAATGACGTTGGATAAGTTAGTCAAACTTTAAGAACTGTTTCTGTTTTAACAAAACAAACCCCCAAAGATACCTCATTAACAGATTTTTGCCAGGACTCAAGTTTTGGCATGTATCTTCCTTGCTTATTCCTAGATTAGAATTTTTTATTAACATATTATACTGGAAAATAAATTATAAAAAGGATATTTCAGATTTTCGCAATTTCCAAATCAATCATTTCTCTTTGTACCATTTAGGGTATTTCATCCACACTGTAGATTCTTTCTGATGTCTTGGGAACCATGTTTAAAACCGTAGTACAGGGCAATTGAAAAACAGATCTTTTTCTCTAAATAGCCTAATCCTTGTTAACCTCGGAAAATAAAAATTAAGTAGATTGTGAAGTTGAACCAGTCCTCTTAGTGTGATAGCTTGATTAAGGAAAGATCAGGATACTTTAGTAAGTAAAGTATTATTTATTTAATCACTCATTATTTATAATTTTAAACAATTATTTATTTTATATATTTTAAATATGAAACAATTACATATTATAATTATACTTTTTTCAAAGAGTAGATTATGGAGCCACTGTGTCCATATATGAGCTTTTCTTGGCTTTTACAAAATTAGAAATTAAAAACGAAGATAGTCACTCATGAAAAGCACCTACAATCACTATAATATGCAGAGTGACTCAAAAATTTCTATTTGTTTATGTTAGCTGTGTAAAAACCACTTACCATGTACTGTTACAATATCTTATATTGATGAAAGCATTTAGCATATGTTACAAACCTGAATATGTTTTATTAAATATTCATAAGATTGAAGAGAAAATCTTTATACTTAGGAAATGATTCTTTTCAGAATAAATAGCTTTGGAAAGATAAAAAGTAACTTTCCTAATTAGAGGTATAACTAAGTTTCGTTGGCTAGTAATAGCTAAAATTGCCCTAATTTTGACCTCTGTGGCCTCTTTTTTCCAGGATTTCCAAAGATGGTTGAGATGCCTTCATTGTCATCATCCTGAAAATTAATGTTCTATCCTGTGCAGCAGCGATGAGGTCTGATAAACTGAGTCTAATGATGGAGTTTAGATTTATTTAATTTACCTTGCATTTGGAACTTTGAATTTCTTAAATGTAGTTTTGGTCTTACCCAGTGGATCTCTGTGGGGAACTGGGTGTCCTCCCGATGACCCCCTAAGCTAAGGAGCCAAATGGGACAGACTGCTGAAGTAGCAGTGGACAAGAGTACGGAAAGAGCTGATGCTGCAACCCTTCCTGGGAGGGCTGCATGCTGTGATTGTTTTGCCTAACCGCAACATTTTGACCTAAGATGCGCTGTCAAGAACTGATGGTAACAGCGATACCGGAGAAAACGAGAAAAGATGGTTACACAAGAACTCTTCATGACCTCCACCCCCACCCGTTGTTTTTTGTTCTCTTGCACCTGTGAGTTTCTATAAAAGGAGCTTATTTCCCTCATTAAATGGGGCTTGATCAGTCTTCTGTCTTGCTCTCTTCCTTTGTGTCTCTTGTCCTACCCACTCCCCCTTCCAGGTTCCATAGACCGACTCCCAATTCCTGCAGGCCGGGACAGATCTCAAGCTGTAGTGTGCATCAGAATCACCCAGAGGCTCCTCAAGACACGGGTTGCTCATTATGCAGATGTGGGATGAGGCCCAAGAATCTGCATTCCTTACAGATTCCCAGGTGGTGCTGCGGGACCACGCTTTCAGAATTGCTAGTGTAATCAGATGCATTCTTTCAGCATCACAGTTTCCTAAGAATCACAGGACCTGTGAACTGAAAATGAGTGAGAATTTAGGTCAAACTAATTTGTAGAGTCAAGGAAACAGGTGCACAGAGGTCAACTAGGGTCACAGGGTCCCTGGGGCAGAACCAGGGTTTTAGCCCAGCACTCCTGACAGCTGGCCTGTAATCTCACTGCAGACAGATGTTGTGCTTTGCCTTTCCCCAAGGAGTGAAGACTGTTAAGAACTTACGGGTCTTTTCTTGAATTTGTGAAATTTGTTTAGGCAAGGTAGAAGGCAAAGACTGACGCTTCACATTGGTTTTTTATTGCAGTCTTCGTCTTGTTTTTATATGGAAGTGTAATCAGTCTCTTGAGACTTTTGCTAGTTTTTGTGTGGTATTTAGAAACATGGACATTTTTCTGAATCCTAATTAGAAATAAGTAACCTGGAGTTCTGCTTCAAACAGTGCAGTAATAACAATGACTATGATATTTCTAAATTAAGATGACCATATTAGTATAAACATTGGAATGGATAATACAGTAAGTGTAACAATGGAATTGTTTTTGTGTATGATCCAGAAATAAATGACAGTAATGAAACTATAAATGTATTCTTATAAATCCTCTTGTTTTCGTACACATACTTGAATCATTACAAAATCTTAATTGAAAATTGGTGAATTTTTCTCTTCTTTTGGTGAAGGTTTAGGAGCCATATGTAGTTTTTTCCATTAGGAAAAACCTGTTATAGCAGTATTTTAACTGGAACTCTGTTCTACTTTATACAATAGAATATTACCGCAAAGTACTTCTCTGATTAAAGTACATTCAGATTCCTGCAACATAAAGAAAAGGAAACCTAGAAGAAAGTTGCCGATCCCGGGCAGATGCAAGTCTACCTTCAGTGCCCTCTTTCTGGACCCTGGACAGTCACTTAGGCCTATGGCCACTCCACCTCATGAGCCTCGTTTACACTGCAGATTCTTTTT